ACAAAGCTTCTTAGTAATATATTTAACATTCTGGATTTGAAGTGAATTCAACAAGACCAACTTGAGTGAGGACTGAGTATAAAAAGGGGTAAGTGAGTTGGGGCCAAAGGATAGCATCAAGTTGTTCGCCAACGACATCACCAAAGCATAAGCTTTTCATTTAAGCAATCACAGCAAATTCAATTCTCCCTTATTTCCAATATTGACCGGTGAGTTCACACAAGTAGTATTGGTCAGAGCAAAGAGAGTGAGACCAACACTGAAGGACATGTGTACAAAGCCGTTCAAAAGTGCTCGTAAGAAAGGTCCCCGAGAGGCGTGGATTTGACAATGGAGGAGGAGGTATGTGGTTTGTAGGATAAAAGGATGAAGGAGGACGAGCCGACTTGGAATAGTGTGGTCTAGTCTTGGTCGAAATTGGTTGGTGAGGTTGGGAAAAGTGATGCTGCCGAAGTGAGTGTCCGAAGGTTCCAGTTTAAAAGAGCATATTCAAGATTGGAGTTAAGGCCTTGTGAAGGAAGAGAACGTTTGAGAGAGAGACAGGAAAGGGAGGAGAGAGAAAGAGTATGTCTATAGGCTAACGGATTCGTTAACGTTGTTAGCTCTGATTAAACAGTTTACTTTGAGGATTAACGCATTTGACAGAACAAACTTGAAGAATCTGATAAAAAAGAAGATAAATGCAGGGACCTGGTTCAAAACATAGGATAACTAGAAGGACTATCAAATTAGTTGTCCCTTTAAAATTTAACAAATTTTTAAGTTTAGTCATTTTTAATTAATATATACAATTTTTAAGAAGGCAACAATCTAAAAAATAATAACTAAAGGATAAAATAATATATTTATGTTAAAATTATGATATGATGTATAAATATGACTAAATAAAATTATCTCTGTATATCTTATAAATAAGATCAGAGAAGTACAATGAAATTAGATATAACTAATTGGGGGGATGGCCAAAAAAAAAGATATAATTAATTGGGCCAAAAATATAAAAACTTGATTAAAATTTTAGATATTCTTTTAAGTGTTTTATAAATAGAATGAAGCGAGACAACCAAACAATTTGCTCATAATTAGTAAAGTAGGAAAATTGTTTTGAAATGACCCAAGTCACATATAGAAACTCAACAACGAGGTATACTGTAATGTTTTATAGGAAAATCATTGTAGAGTCTCAAAGGAGGAATTTTATTACTGAAATCTCCTATGAAATATTCAAATAACTTTAAAATAGCTAGAAGCCTAACCGGGAGAAGATTTTCAATGTGCAATGACGAAATTATCCGCATGCGTTACAAATAACAACTCCTAAGAAAATCATTTTAAAATAGTTTGTTTTCTCTTATGATGTTCCCTTTCGAAGTGAAAATCAAGTGGGCTTTCCATCCATTCTCTTTTGTTATTATTGCGTCTCATACTGTCTTTCTATAATGTTCTGTGTCATTTTATGGACTAATGGTTTATATATAACATCAATGCCAACCCCACTAATGGTTTTGGTTTGCACAAATTCCATTTGGGTTTTTAGGTCTGGATTGCTTTGCTTCAAACCACAAATCAAATCATATGGAATGGCTCATCATTAAAAATATTCGCCCTAAGCCCTCCATCTGCTACCGTTTGGTCCCAAACTCCAACGGGCGGATTTCATTGACCCATTCGTTCGTATATCATATCCAGTTGATGCTTTGGATCCACTCTTCATCGACAAGTTTTCCGAGAAAATCTGAGACACAACGAAGCATTTCTTGCGTACCAATCTTATTAATAAGGGGGAAAAAAGGAAGTTTGGTCTTAATTTATAGGACATATCCGTAAATTCCTAACCATATCTGCCAAAATCAGTCTTCTTTGACTTGGAAGTTTTCGGCTTTTCTCCCATTGGGAGTTGCACAAGGGACCAAATCTTAGACAACTGACTGTTAGAATATGGACTGATCCACCTTTAAGTGGATTAGGCCCAAACCATCTAAGATGGGGTCCGAATGCAAAGTAAAAACAAAACAAAAAAACCTGAGTTTTAACTGTAATATTCACCATCCCTTTCAAATTTGCATGACGGGAGTGGAGAAATTTAAGGAACAAAAACTGAAGGCAATTTTACAGGATATACCACTTCTTTGAAATCTCTCATCTTTCTCCTCTGTGCTTTGCTGTATATTTAGAATTTGACTCCATTTCCGTGATCGGATCACGGGTGGGTACTAGAAGAATCTATTTGCATTCCAGTTAGGACCCGAAATCCCTCACCAACAGACGCAAGGAGGTCCCACTCAAATAATTATGAGCATTAATGAGAGCCCCTTGTAACATATAGGACGACCTTTGAAAAGTCAGTTCATTCTTTTCCAGCGAACTCTTATCAATGAGCAACTACTTGGTCATTGCCTGGGAAGACAATATCTACCCACATGAGGCTGATCTTCAATTTTTAACTTTATTAAAATGTTATATAATTATGTACAGTTCATTATCTAATATTTTTAAATTATAAACAAAATCATTTTAAAGACTTCAATTAAACTAACAGAATATAACAATTTTTTAAGAATTCAAAATTAACGCCATAGGAGTAACAGTAACATTAGATGTTAGGAGTAGACAGAACCATATCTTCGAAAGCTAGTCTTCTTAACTCAGGCGCAAGGGACCAAAATAAAGCCTAGAAAACTAGCATGCACAAGGAGGCCCCACTCAATAATTATGAGCGATAATGCGATACACCAAATGACACTACAAAAAAACAGACTTTAGGCGACGACTTTCGGCGGCGACACCAAAAAGTCGCCGCTGAAAGTTCGCCATTGAAACCAAAACTTTCGGTGGCGACAAAAGTGTCGCCGCTGAAAGTGGACCTTCAGCGGCGACTTTTTTTGTCGCCGCCGAAAGTGGACTTTTAGCGGTGACTTTTTTAGTCGCCGCTAAAAGTTCGCCATTGAAACCAAGACTTTCCGTGGCGACAAAAGTGTCGCCGCTGAAAGTTCGCCATTAAAACCAAGACTTTCCGCGGCGACAAAAGTGTCAGCGGCGACTTTTTTAGTTGCCGCTGAAAGTTCACCATTGAAACCAAGATTTTCAGCGGCGACTTTTTTTGTCGCCGCCGAAAGTGTACTTTCAGCGGCGACTTTTTTAGTCGCCGCCGAAAGTGGACCTTCAGCGGCGACTTTTTTTGTCGCCGCTGAAAGTATAATATAATAATATATATTTTATTTTACAATATTAATAAACAAATTCAATCTGGCTCAGCGGCAAGAAGGTTGGACACGAAAGGAGGCGGTCACGAGTTCGAACCTGGAAGAAGACACATTTAAGGTGAAAATATTTGGACGGTGACGTGGCGAGGAGAAGTGATGTGACAATGACGTGGAGGTGGCTAGTGATGATGTGGCGGTCGGCGGTGATGATGTGGCCGCCGATGGCGATGACGTGGAGGTCAACGGTGATGACGTGGCAGCCGAAGACGATGACGTGGCAGCGACGGCGATGACGTGGCATTGGTAAAGCCAATTCTTCTTAGGCATTACTTTCTGCGGCGACTTTTTTGTCACCGAAACTTCTAAAAGTCGCCGCTGAAAGTATCTTTTAGCGGCGACCTTTTTAGTCGCCACTGAAAGTTTTTCAGCCACAGCTGCTACGGCAACGACTTTTCAGCGGCGACTTGTCGCCGCAAAAAACTTTCGGCGGCGACTTTTGTCGCCGCTGAAAGTCAATTTTTTTGTAGTGTGAGCAAATTATGGTCTTCCCAGGCAATGACCAGTAGTTGGGACAATCTTTGAAAAGTCAGATCATTTTTGTCTAGTGAACTCTTATCAATGAGCAAATTATCGCATCTAGTAAGATCTTCTTATAGCGTCCAGATGTCGGAGAAATATCTGTAGTGTCTGATTTCATCCATATACAACACAGTATCGTCTTTCTTTAGAGCCAGCAGTTCTTCGATCAGGTTCTTTATCTGTTCTCTTGTTAAATTCTTTTTTTTTTTTTTGGGCCAGAAATTCATCATTTGATGACTGTTTATTCTATGCTCTTCATGTCTTGATAATCACATGTTCATAGCCTTTCCATTTGGTGCCGCTTGGTTAGGCTGAAAGCCAGCCAGAGGAAAAGGAAATTAGCCTTCCATCCACTGCTTAGCTCGCTTGGTATGTTCATGAGGGTATTTGAATTAGCGTTTCGAATGTGATTTTACAGTGTATGAGATGAGTTTTATTTTAACTTGTGTGGAAATGTTTCTGATAAGCCGAAACAAACAACCCCACGCCTGAGTTCATGGCAATGGTTTTGATCTAGCTATGATATGTTGCATAATCCCTTTTTTTCGGTTTGATATCCTTGGTCCCGGATGAAGATAGTGAAGGAGATGTTTTTTTTACCCAGATTGGTTAAAAGCATGTTTGGTATTTCTTTTTCTTTTTTTTAAAAAAATTATTTTTAATTCATTTTTTTTCCTTTTCTTTCCTTTGTTCTCTAAACGTCCCCGTTGCCGAAAATTTTCCCTTCCCTTACCTTTTTTCTAATTCTTCCTATTAAACGGGCCTTTATTCTTGTAAAAGTTGAAAATCTTTTCGAAAGATTTGTGTCTGTTGACCTAGTTTTCTTGTTCAAAATTATGTTAAGGATTAAATCCTGAAATTTTAGCTTATGAAAACACAAGATCTAACATGAATAATACACTTAATAAAAAAAATTCTTACCTGGGGAATACAGACCTAAAGTTGAAGTCAACTGTTTTCTTTTCAAGGTTCACACAAAAACATGGCAAACATTGAAGCTGTGGATGAAGCAACTCAAAGGCAGGAAGGGAATGGTTCCCAAGAGAATAGGTGGCAAGAGAGATTTCTATAGGTCTAGAAACTCCACGCCCTCCTTTGACATTCAACTGTTGTATCTACAAAACTCCGGATGTTATTCGCAAACAAAACGAAGCAGCCTACTCTCCTAATGTTGTCTCAATTGGGCCATATCACCATGGAGAAAGTAAATTGGAATATATGGAAAAGTTCAAATCGACATATGTCAAGAATTTCCTTGAAAGAGTTCGTATTGATGGGTTGTTGGAGGATTATCTGAGAACCCTGACAGGATTGGAAGACAGAATAAGAAAATGTTATGCGGAGCAAGTTGAAATGAGAAGTGACAAGTTCTTGAGGATGATTATAACCGATTCGTGCTTCATATTTGAGTACTTTCTTCGGTTAGTGTCGGACCAGCAGTGGGCAGTTGAAGATTATGTATTACTAAAACCATGGTTGGTAGGAGCCATACACGTCGACCTGATATTACTTGAGAATCAAATTCCATTCTTTGTTTTGAAAGAACTGTACAACATGGCAATTCCAAGCTCAGGAACTCCCTTTCCGGAACTTACCTTGACATTTTTTAATGATTTGAAAGTGAACAAGGTACAACATAATGCCATCGTAGAGATCGAACGAGTGGAGCACTTCACTCATCTAATAAGAGAGTTTTTCTTGCCACCAACTAAAGAGAGACTCTTCAAGCGGGAAACAAGTATCAAGGTAGTGGAACATTTGCCCAGTGCTAGTCAGCTGCATGAAATAGGGTTAAAGTTTAGGGCAGTGAAAAAGAAAGGCTCAATTCACTTACGCTTTGGAAATGGTGAGTTGGAAATGGCACCCTTTAAAGTATATGATGACATAGAAATACACATTAGAAATGTGATGGCATTTGAACAATGCCACTATGCTGACAATCATTATGTGAGTCAGTATATGTTTTTACTAGATTTCCTTATAAACACTGATAAAGATGTGGAATTGCTGGTGGACAAAGGCATTATCACTAATGCGCTAGGCGACTCCAATGCAGTAGCTACAATGGTGAACAGTCTCAGAAAAAATATCATAACACCAGGTGTACACTCTCATTACCATGAAGTTTGTTGTCAAGTAAATAAATTTTATCGTAGCAGGTACCACAGATGGTGCACAAATTTGAGACGTGACTACTGTGGCACCCCATGGAAAATTGTTGGTTCTGCTGCCGCCGTGTTACTCATTGTCTTCACTTTTGTTCAGACTATATGCTCTGTCATTTCGGTTAGCTGAAGTGGCTAAGTAAATCTAGCCAGCTATTTCTTTCTTTCTTTCTTTCTGTCTTTTTTTGGTTTTCTAGCTATTATGTTATGTGCATTTCAGCATTGTCATCGTCGTCAGTACTGGCTTTTCTTTCATTATCTATATCTCTATTTTCATTGTGATGTTATGAACTCTAGCAGACGTCTGTCTTCATGGATAATGTTCAAATGACGATTATGTATTCTAGTCTGTAGCTTTAGCTTTTCACAGCTTTGAATGTACTGTTAAGATGCAAATTTGTCCTGAAAGTTTTCATTCAAGAGCTCTGGACATCAGGAATTTTTTTTTTTTTAATAAATTTGCTCTGAAAGTTTAAAATTGTTGTAATATTGCATCTTATATTTAAAAAACTAATGCAGATTATTAAAATAATGATGTCGACTATTAATATTTTTAATGACAGGATGTAACATTATATTGCTATGATTTTAAACTTCTGGGTCAAATTTACATAAAAAAGAAATTCCTAATGCTTAGAGCTTCTGAGTAAAAAATTTTGGGGCAAATATATACTTTAACCCTTGAATATTCACGATGGTTGTTTCAGATGTTTTATGTTCAACTTCTATATTTATAATACAATCAACGCGGCCAATAAATAACTAATAACATTTTTTACCATCCAAAAGACCTAGTAACTTGAGCAAAACAAAGTTGCAAATGCTGTGTAAAATAAGATCCGTAATTATACTATAGGGTCTTTTGTAGACATATGTCACTATTTAAAAAATTTCGCCCAATTTAAAACAAACCAAAACATGCCAATTTGGATTACATTCACTCTGGCATGGAAGAAAGCTAAGATAGAAAAGAAAAATGATTACAGTCAAGAAAAATAAGTTACACTTTATTCATAATTTATAAATAATATAATCTAATTTTATTATGCATTAATATTATATATTATTATTTTTTGAATATTATTTATTGTGCAAATATATTTCTTTGTAGATTATATTATATATTTTTTAATTATAACTCACGTATTCATTATATCATAAAAAGGAAATATATCCTTAATATGAGAAAGTCAAAGCAATATGTCTTCTCTAATCAGTTAATTGCATGAACGTTGTGGTACTGGTTTAGATTGGTTGGATTTCAAGTTTTATTTTAAGACAACTTTTTAGCTAGGCACCTTCTTCTACACTAAAAAAAATTGACTTAGTTGCTGCTGAAAGCTTTCGACAGCAAAAAATCATTGCCAAGTCATTGCCATAGTAACTGCTGCTAATGCTTTTCAACAATGGCTTACTTTGTCACCGCTAAAAGACCCTTCAGCAGTGACTAATATGTTTGGGGTGAGTATTTGGCGTTTCGGTTTAGTTAGGATTGAAAACCGAAAAAATCAAAACACCAAGATGAAGCATTTAACAACATGGAGCTGAACTGAATAATATTATTAACAGAGATAAAACTGAACCAAAATATCATTACAAAAAAATTGACTTTTTCTATCGCCGCTAAAAGTATAAAAATTGCTGTTGAAAGGTTTTATGTCACCATTGAAAAGTTATTACCGTAACGACCGTGGCTGATAGTAGCAACAAAAAAAATCGCCGCTGAAAGTCAACTTTTGTTGCTATGAAATTTGTTGCCGCGAAAGTAACTTTCAACGGTGGCTTTTTTATTGCTGCTGAAAGTAGAGCCTGGAAAACAGGCTGAGCTCGTCAGGCCGACCCGTTTAAGTTGAGGGTCGAGGTTGTAATTTGAGATTTTCAAAGGGAACTTAGACTTAAAAGGACCAGCCTTGTAGGGCTCAAAAATAAAAAGGCCAGCCCGTTTAAGTCTGCTAACAATAATTTTTTAATTTATATTTTTTTTCTTGACCCTAATCTAAGTCCATAACATTTTACACACTCTCCCTCTCTAAGGTTTACTTTCAGATTTTCATTCACTCTCAACTCATACCCCAATCTCTAATGATATTAAAATAAATAAAAATATATTCTCCATATCCTAAATAAGATTTCAAATTTGTATTCATTTGAACCAACACTTATATATTAAAATAAACAAAATATATTCCCCATATTAAAACAAAAAATTTAATGATTGAATCAACAAATACGTAACAATTTGTATATATGTTATAAAATTTTAATAAATAAGTTAACACTTTTTCTATAGTGACTATATCATAATTTTTACTATATATTTAAATAGAGTTAGACAAGCGAGCTAGACAAAACCAAAGAAAACCATCCTGAATAAAAGCAAAAAAAAAAAAGATGACATAGTTAGCTCATTAAAAGCATACTATGGATCAATCCAAAGTGCTAAGATATTTCAGACTTCCCATGAGATTGTACAGCAAAGTGATTTCACAATTAAAGGCTGAGAAATTATTGATATTTTTAGAAGTTAAGAAGAGCCTATTATTAATGAAGCACAATCAAATATTCTTACAATTAATGATAGTGATGATAGTGTTTATCCACTTTTTTTTTTTTAGTGAAAACGTTTGTCTACTTTTAATGAAACTTTTGGATGTTAATATCATTGACTTGTTATGTTTAATAGATGTTTTAGATTTTTTGTATGTTGATGGACATTTAGATATGATGGTCTTTTATATTTGTGACTTAATTTCATTCATATTTATATCTTTTACTAGTAATTTCATTGATTTATTTTTATTTTTTGATAAAATATATGAAAAATGAAATTTATTTTAAAATGAGTCGGAAGCCCATGGGCCGGCCCTAAGCCCGTCTGCTTAAAGGCCGGGCCTAGCAAATTGGGGTTTTTTTTTTTAATTTTGACCCTATAGGGCCGGCTCCTTTAAGCCCGCCAGCCCTGCAGGGCCAAACCGGCCCGTTTTCCCAGCTCTAGCTGAAAGTGATGTTGGAGAAAAATGGCTTCGCTGACACCACATCATCACCATGTCACCACCTTACTGCCATGTCACCATCCAAATATTTCAGCTTAAATGTATCTTCTTCAAAGTTTAAACTCATGACCACCTTCTTGTTGAATTTAAGTGTTTTGATGATAACAAATTAAGTTTCAAAGTATCTCTGAATATTTGTTATATTAATTGATCAAGTGTTCGATCACTAGTTAATCGAACATATGCCAGATAATTGTCAAAGTATTTTGTGTCTATTTACAGTTATAATTAATCGATCATGTGATAGATAATTTACTGTGCTTAATAACTTGTTAGATAAATAGATTGATCAATCAATTGATCAATCATTGGTATAACTACTTAATATAAGATGTTTCAAGAAATCATCGATCACTTGATCGATTATTGGTTGATCGATAAGCTGTCAGGAAAAAGGTTTAACTTCTTTGCTTATAACAGAAGGTTTATCAATCACCTGATTGATCAAGAGGTAATCGATAATGACACAGATAATTGGTAAGTTTCCTTGACTCACTCACAGCTTTAAATTATCAATCATATTGTCGATCATTAGTTTATCAATAATTTATTCGAACATTGTTTGACAAATCATTTTTGGTTAATCGATAATCTGTTCTATCAAACTCTTCCTGTTATATTCCAAAACAAAGTTTTCAAAGACAATAATTGATCACTTAATTGATTATCTATTAATCGATTATTTAATCGATCATCAACTTATCTTTAGGCATGACCGTTCAAGTCTTCCTGAACTGTTTTTCAGATCACTTGTTCAATCAAGCTTTTATTGATCAAGTGCTAGATCATTATGTTTAAAAGATATTTTCACGATAACTTAGAATTATCGATGAACTATTTAATCAAGCATTGTTCGATCACCTATTCGATATATAAATCAATTCACCTCTTTGAAACTGTTATTCACGATTATCTATCAGAAAGATTCTTCATATTATCTTTAAGCTTTTCCTTCATTAATCATGTTATTTCTTTTAGAACAACACGAAGGCTTATAAATTTAAAATGAATAAACCTTGCACAGAATTCAAAAGTACTTTCCTTTCTAAAATTTCTTTGTCAGTATTTCATCATTTATCGATCACTTATTCCATAATTGGATTATCTATAATGAACTCGATAAATGAATGCATCTGTTAAGTATATCTCTGTCTAATTAATCATGATGTTATCGATTAAGGGGTTATCGATCAAGACATCAATCTAGTAAGTTCATCTTACTTTCTGAATATCTGATGATTGATTCTATATTTTTATCTATTGTATAAATATCAAGAATCATCACCTTTTCTATTATTAATTTATATTTACCTGAAGAAGAAAGCTTACTTATGCTAAGAGACTTCTACAGATTACGAAGCATAACGGATAAAATTATAGGCTTAAACCTACTGTGTCAAAAGCATTTATTACAAACAACCATTGTAACTGCCGAGCACACACAAGTGATCTTCCAACGGCTAGAAGCTCTTCAGTCTAATAGATAACTGTAATACTCCAACTACAAATGGCGTGAAGAGCATTGAATGAAGTATTGAATAAGTTGAGCTAACATCTGTTGAAATTTCCTGTTGCATTCAATACTCTGTTTTCTGTACCGAACTTCAATGTTTAAAATATATACTCTATGAGAGAGTCTAAAATTTCTTTTACTCAAATTTATGAGTTACTCAAGAGTGTGGACTTTTGAGGAGTTGTAACCTTACGGATAGTAAGGGAAAGTGATTGAGAGAGACTCAGTTGCTGTACTGTGGCACCAAGAGCCTATTGAATCTTGGAGAGTTAGTGCAAAATCAGTGGTGCTTTGAGGACTGGACTTAGGTCAAGTGGTTGAAACTGAACTAGTATAATCTCTTGTGTCATTACTCATTTGTTCATCCTCGGTGAAATCCTTCTTTACTTATCCTTTTTGTTATATTCAGTTATTGATTTTATTAAGTCAAATTTTTTTTATATTTCACCCAATTCACTCCCTTTTAGGTGAAACTGTTACTAACACTTCTTTCATGTCCAATCTTCTTGCCATTAAGCTGGATTGAATTCACTGATTAATATTGTAAAATAAAATATATATATA